GGCCAAGAACGCTTTTACGAAACGGAGGAGGCGGGGCGCGCTGTGCGCGAGAGGAGTGGGCGAAGGCGCCCCGAGAGACCACGGACACATGTAAATGAGAGGCCTGACTAGCCGAGAAGCGAATCTGCATATGCATGAGGGGCGGGGCCTAGCATGGAAGGCAAGTGCTGCCCACTTTCCCTTTTTCCCTTTCCCCCCCCACCCAGATAACACCGTCGGGGCCCTAGGACCGCAGGCCCAACATCCCCTCAAACCTGCGGAATCCGGGATGGGAGCAGCAGACCGACCACATGCACGAAGTCCTGGATCTCGAGTCCCGGGAAGGCGGAGCTGATATGGCCCCAACAGAGAACGCTCAAGGTCACTGCGGTGACCGAGTGAAGGTCATGGGGAAAGGCGGGGCCACGTGCGTCCGCCTCACGCAGACAGCCACGCACTGACTCACAGACCTTGCACAGACTTTTATTTCTCTAGGGTTCAAATTCCACATGGATAGGGTCGGGTTTGGGTCTCCGCGCAGGACCGGGGCCGGGGCTGGAGGTGGGCAGTCACTCGAGCCTGAGGCGGTGCTCTCAGGGCTCCGGGACGAGTTGCCTCCTGCTCCGCTTCTGGATAGCCTCGATTTTTCGCTGCAGCTGATTGGTCAGAATGTGATCCTTGCCGATGGCCGCGCTGTAGCCTGGAGGAGAGAGCTCCGCTCAGGGCAGTTAGAGGGGCGTTACCTCCCCCGGCAGCAGGTGCCACCTGTGTGGCTGGAGGCAAGACGGGTGACTTGTGTTGACAGGAGCTCTCAGGGCTCCGGGCTGTGTCAGTTTGGGGAACTTTGGATCTCCGAGGCGCTGGGCCCTGGCGGTTTTGTTGCCAGTCCTGTGCTCCAAATAGGTGGGGGATGCGGAGCAGGACTGGATATGGAGGTGGAGGATGAATGAGAGCAAGAGTAAAGAAAATGTTGCCGGCCTGATCTTGGACAGCGGCAGCTTTTTGGACACCTTCTGGAGCACTCACCGTTAGCCATTAGCCAGTCCCTACCCCTCATTCCATAAACGGGACAAACCAAGGGAGGTTTACCCAAACCATCTACTGTCCAAAGGCTCTTCACATCAATCAGGGAAGGGGCCGAGGCCGCACAGAGACTCATCCCCCCTGGGCAGATGGAGAAATTGCCTTAGGAAAGCCGTCAGCTAGAGGGGGGCAGCACTTAAACTGGAGCCCAGCCCCTCACATTGGCCCCATGGTTTCCCCACTGGTCTCCCTTGTCCTGTCCCCCAACTTTTTGCTTTCTGTGGGGCTCTTATAATATTTGTGAGTGGTCAGAGAATCTGACAAAGCAGTCACATCCTGAAATTCCACTGCCAGGGGCTCAAACCCTGCAAAATCCCCTATGGGCTCCTGGGAGCTGGGGGAGGGACTCACCCTGGAGGGCTTTGGTGAGGATTTCCAGAGCTTCATTCTCCATGAGATCCATCAGGGGCAGTGGCAGCTGAAGAGGCAGCAAGAGGCTTGATGTCCAAGGGACCCCAGCTGCCCACAGCTGAAATGCCCCACCTGCTGCCTGCAGCCCAAGATGCCCAACCAAGCTGCCTGCCCCTCCGCCCTACAGACCACCCACCCCCTTCATCCGTAAACCCCAAGTTGCCCATTCCCCATCCCACTGAAATCCCCAGTCTCCCTGGCGCCTCTAACCCTGTCCTGCTGTTCCTCCCAGTAGGCTCGGTGGTGCGTGTGCTTCATGATATTGAGTGATGACACCGAGGAATCCAATTCTGGGAGAAGAGAAAAGAGACATCAGTCATCTGCAGGCTGCTGGGTCTTTCTAGAACAGAGGAGCTGTGTGGGCTGGCCTCTGGCAGGGACAGTGGCCTTCAGAGAGCAGCTCCAGGTGCCACCGTAGCAGGAAACGGCATGGGACAGTGGTTTCCAGACCTGGGCTTTATTATCTCACCCACCAAGGTTCTAGTTCTGACTGCCCCACTGTGTGACACTTAGAGCCAGTGACGGAAACTTTCTGACCTTCAGGTTCTTCATCTGTAAAATGGGGTAATAAGAATAACCCTTGGCCCTGGCCGGGTAGCTCAGTTGGTTAGAGCATCATTCCAAAACACCAAGATTGTGGGTTCAATCCCTGGTCAGGGCACATACAAGAATCAACCAATGAAACAAGTCAGTATTTCTCTCTTTCTCTCTCTCTCTTTTTCTGTCTCTCTCAAATCAATAATATTTTTCAAATGAATAATTAAAAAAAAAAAAAGAATAGCCTGGCCATTGTGGCTCAGTGGTTAAGTGTCGACCCATGAACCAGCAGCACATGCCCGGGTTGTGGGCTCGATCCTCAGGAGGGGGCATGCAGGAAGCAGCCAATCATCATTGATGTTTCCATCCCACTTTCCCTCTCCCTCCTTCTCTCTGAAATCAATAAAAACATATTTAAAAAGGAAGGAAAATAAAAAGAATAACCCCTTCTGGAGGTGATGAAATTTAAAGCTGATCGATCATACTGGCACGAGGGAAGCCCAATGCCTGCACACCACAAGAGCTCAATCAGTGGCAGTCATTATATTGCTATCAGTTCCAATTATCTGAAGATGGGGGGGGGGGGGGGGGGGGGGGGGGAGAGAGAGAAAAATCCCCAAAAGTGACCAGCATGAAGTAGGTACTTAAAAATCGTCACCAATGACTACATAAATGACAGGCACCTCCTCAACCCTCGAAAACGCACCGACAAGAAATTAACTTCTTCCTCTCAACTCTCCTGGTGATGCCATTAAAAGAACGGTCCTGCCGAAACCGGTTTGGCTCAGTGGATAGAGCATCGGCCTGCGGACTGAAAGGTCGCAGGTTCGATTCCGGTCAAGGGCATGTACCTGGGTTGCGGGCACATCCCCAGTAGGAGATGTGCAGGAGGCAGCTGATCGATGTTTCTCTCTCATCGATGTTTCTGACTATCTCTCTCCCTTCCTCTCTGTAAAAAATCAATAAAATCTATTAAAAAAATAAAATAAAATAAAAGCACGGTCCTAAGGACACACGGCCTTTGAGCATTTGCCTGCGTGCCTCTCCAGGACCTGGTGTGGCCTGGCCACAGGATCGTGCCTGGTGCCTTCCCAGTAGGGGGCGCTCCAAGAATGTCTGGTTTATTAAACGAGAAAGATTAGCCCAGGCGCCCCACTCAGGGAACCCTAGAAACTTGGGTCCTACAGCTTCCCCGCATTTTACACCAACAGACATTGAGGTCCTGGCCAGCCCCCTGCCCTGTGGGCGCCCACAGCGGGATGAAGCCACACTGACCCCCGGAATCCTGGACCCCTTCTACATGGTTTCTCTGGAAGCTGTTGGGGCTCTGCTCCAAGGTGTGGCCATCGAGTTCCCCCTGCGTGATGCTGCCTTTATTTCTGTCATCCCATTTTCCCGAGGCTCTCCCAGGGTCGGTCTTCCGTCTGTACCACTGGCCAGACTTGCTCCTGGAGCTGCTGTCCTCCTGGTCAGAGTCCTCATAGACGTTTGTCAGCCCATTCAGCTTGGGCTGCGACAGCGTGGCCTTGGTCCACAGATTCCGGATGTCACTCTTCGAGCTTAACTTGACTGAGTCATTCTTGGCCAATGCCTGTGGACCACATACAACAAGGAAAGCCCAGCACACCTGTCAGAATGGCTATCATCAAGAAATCAACAAACAATGAGTATTGGCGTGTTGGTGAGGATGTGGAGAAGAGGGAACCCTCGTGCACTGTTGGTGGGAATGCAGATTGGTGCAGCCACTGTGGAAAACATTATGGAATTACCTCCGAAAATTAGAAATGAAACTACTTTATGACCCAGCAATTCCACTTCTTGGAATATATCCAAATAAACCCAAAACACTACTTCGAAAGAATATATGCACCCCTATGTTCATTGCAGCATTATTTACAATAGCCAAGGCTTGGAAGCAGCACGTATGAGGGGATAAAAAAGCTGTGGTACATGTACACAATGGAATACTACTTGGCCGTTAAAAAGGGGGAGGGAATCTTACCATTAGCCACAGCATGGATCAACCTGGAGAGCATTATGCTAAGTGAAATAAGCCAGTCAGAGAAAGACAAGCACCATATGATTTCATTCATATGTGGAATCTAATAAACAAAATAAACTAATAAACAAAATACAGATAGATTCATAGATAGAGAACAGACTGACGGAGGGAGGGAGCTCAGGGCTGGGTGAAAAAGGTGAAGGATTAAGCAAAAGCAACAACAACAAAACTCATAGACACCTACAACAGTCTGGTGATGACCAGCGGGAAAGGGGGCGGGGCAGTAGGAGAGGGTATAGGAGGGACAAATGGTGATGGAAGGAGACTTAATACAAGTATACAGGTTTCAGGCGTACAGATCCTGTATTATAGAATTGAACAACCGGAAACCTATATACTTTTATTAACCAATATCACCCCAATAAAATCAAAAAGAAAAACAAAACAAAACAAAACAAGGAAAGCCCAGGGTCGCGGGGAGTTGGGGAGGGAAGAAAGCAGGCTGGGGCAGCCACGTGGGGACTGTTGGGAGCTGGGGGGTGGGGGGCGTGAGAGGACAGCCAGGGCCCACGTTGAATGAGTCTGGGGGCTGACAGGATGAGGGGCCCAGGAAGAGTTCTTACTTTGAAAGGCTTTTCCTCCATGGTTCTGCCCCAACGGACCCAGTCGCCACAGGCCTCGCGGATGGCGGGGAGCGGGGAGGGGGGAGAGTCACGCTCCGGGAAGGGGGAGGGACGGGGTCGCGTTCTGGAATGGCGACGAGGGTCTCGTGCAGGAAGTGGTCAAGCTGCAGCCCTCCACACTTGACACAATTATTTCTCCCCCCGCCCACCCCCGAACCCCTAAGGCTGTGCTGGCGTTGGAGACGCACAGCCCATCTGGCAGGTTCCGCCGC